TATTAAGTTATACCATAAAAACAAATATTAAATAGTAAATTCTTATTGAATTATGGATATCAATTAATTGTCGATGAAAAATAATTGAGAAACAATTTTTTTATGAACCATGATTCATGCATCCGTCGGTTGGATGCCCAACGGGTGCACATTGTATAAACCAAAAAATTTTAAAAATAAAATTACAAATTTACCTTCTCACCAAACCATTTTCCAAATGACAACAAGAACAAATCCTAGCGAAACTCAATCAAGCATTCAAACACCAAATCCATCATTACCCTAATCATCTTCAAGACAATTGGCAGCAGCAAGTTCCCACCTTCTTTTATTTATTTATTTATTTATTTATTTTCATTTTTTTTCTTGGTTCTCGAGCAGAACTTAGATTTGGGTTTTCCAGCAGAACTTAGATTTGGGTTTCTTTTTGGAGAATTAGACGGTCTTCCGAAGCAGGTCTTCTATTTGGTAGGTAACATCGATGAAGCTACTAAGAAGGCTACGAAATTAACATAGAAAAGGAGAGCAAATTGACGAAATGACCTTAAATCTTTGTGTACTCACCCCTAATCGAATTGTTTGGGATTTAGAAGTGAAAGAAATCATTTTATCAACTAATAGTGGACAAATTGGCATATTACGGGTCACGCGCCTATTGCCACAGCTGTAGATATATGTGTTTTGAAAATATGCCTTTAACACCCAGCAGAACCTAGATGGAGAACCCAATCTGGGTTCTCCAGATGAAGAGGAAAAAAAAAAAAGAGAAAGAAGGAAAAAGATAATGAATTTGTTAGAAGATGAAGATGGAGAGACAAGAAGAAAAAGAGGTATTGTGAGAAAGATGACTTTTATGATTAAATTTGTAATTTTATTCTTATGATTATTTAGTTTTGTAGAGTGTGGATCCCGACTGTTGAACCGGGGTGCACTAAGCATTTTCCTCTTTTTATACAGCATTTTCATAAAACTTTACATGTTATTTAATTATTAATTTTTTTATTATATAAAATTTATAATATTTTATATATATCTAATTATTTAATAATAAATAAAAATTATATAAAAAAAGTCAGGCAAAAAGATCTTCCTTATATCCGAACCCTTGTAGATATCCTACTCGATTCTGGAGACCAGATCTCAGATATTCTTACCATAATTGTAAGGAAGAGGCTGTATTTATTATGTCTTTGTTTTTTTTTTTTTTCCCTTCTTATTTAACAACCAGCTGTTTCAGGCGCTCCGTTTTTGAGCTCAATGGAGAGTGAAGAATTAGTTTTCCTGAATCACGACGATTGGCAATTCGAGAAACTAAGGGAGAGTGCAAGAACTAGCGATGAAATTATGGAATCCATGTTCGGGAACGATGAGTGGCAGATTGAGAGAATTGTGCTGAGCAGGAAAGAGGAAGTTATCTTCTTGGTAGAAGAAGTCGATACATACATTCTTCCTTCACTCAAGCGTCGTGAAGTTGGGGATCTCAAGGAAGGAAAAGCAATAGACATTCTTGTGTACGATGAAGATACCAGAGATTACTATAAGTTGAAGTTGAACTATGAACGTCCTTATTATTTTCTGAGGAACACCAGTGAATTGTACAAGAAGAAGGGTGTCAGTGATGGGCAACGGATTGGGTTCAGATATGAAGAGCAGTTTGCAACATTGGTAGTAAAGCGTTTGTAGAAAGTAGAGCCTTAATTATAAGCTTTTCATGTTGTCTTTTTTTTGGCATATTAAAAGCTGAACCGTTGTTTTACAATTTAAACAATATTAGACAGTAAAACACTGATCAAATCGATGGAGCGGCTGGATTATCATCTTTATGTTAAAAGTTAACTTCTTAATGTTACATAGATTCTGAATTTACAAAGGTTTTATAAGTAGTTTATAATTATATTATATTAATAAAAAAGTGTTACGTTGTCTAAAATATATTAAATTATATAATATAAATTATTAAATGAGGCTAGATACTTAATATCAAAAGTTTATTCTTCATTTAGTGAATTTTTATTTTACAATTTAATTCGATATTGTCGAAACTATAAATAAAAAACTTATGTTAATTTGACAAGATATACAGTAGTTTAAACGTATAAGTCTACCACCAGAGTAGATAGCTAATAGGCAAAAGAACCGCTGCTTTCGTTAAGAGTCGGAGTCAAGACCTCCTGCTTACAGAACAGGTGCTCTGAACCAAGCTTTGGTTCGCAATTTCGTGTTGGTTAAATAAAGTAGGTCCGTTCTGTCCTCCAAATTTCCTTTTATGGGCTCAGGTTAATGCATTGTTCTTAGAACAGTAGAAGACATTTAAATTTCAAACGACAATTAGTATAAATATCAAATATTTGATATCGGCCATTTGCCTTATTAAACCATTAATTCAAATACTCCATAAATAAAAGGCAAGTTATCTCTTGTAATGGAAGAGATTTATAACCAATAATTTATTGATTTTAGTTGAAAAAAATTTTAAGTTTAAATCTTGTAAATAAAATTATAAGCATTAAAAAAATTATTTTTTATAAAATTTAACTTAATTTAATTTTAAATTAATCATAATTTATTATTATTTAATATAATTTTAAGATATTAAAAGTTTAATATAAGAACGAAAAGGATTAACCAAAAAACGCCGTCAGGAGCCTAAAGAAGTCAACCCAAGGGACATATACATAAATGGCGAAGTGAAAGGGGGATTATATATTAATTTATTTCTTTTCTTTCATAGGTCTAATGCAATTTCATTTAAGAGTTTTCTATGGGTCTGTAACTCTGTATGGAATCATGTAACAATTTTCATTCCCTTTTCACAGTAATAATTTAGCCTTCTTACTAAAATTTTTGCTGTGATTCGGAATTTGACCAATAAACAGCTACGTATACACATGATGACTACCGCTTGGTATAAGGTATTTTAATTCATAGTAACCACCTGGTACATGGGTCAATAAATAGTTACATGAACAAACATTTCTGAGGTGTTGAGGCAAAAGAATTTTCAAGTTTATTAATGATAAATGATCTATTCACAACAACTGTTGCACGACCAGGTAAACTCACAAGGAGAAGAATTCAAATACAGCGTAAGAAAAGTATTACATGACTGGAATTTTGTCGTTTGTGACTTGACTGACGTATGGGTGGAGACAGGAGTGCTGCACTGGAGATGACAAGAAGCTCACACATACACAGCTCCTACCGAAAGGTGTGAGAGTTTGTTGCCTAAGCCAAGATGACTGTGATGACAATGAGGAGAATAACCCCGAAGATTACCAAAAGCAAACACGTCTGCATGAAAATGTCTTTAGGTTAGATTTGTTTTCCAGCAAATATAAGCTACCAATGTCACAGCTTTGTTAGGACTTGGTCAAAGGAATGCAAATTCACTAGAAATTGTGGTGAATAAAGATAACTAGGTATTTCCACCTTGAACGTGTTCAAAGGAAGTAAAAAGACCAAGCCAAAGAACATTTTTCTCAAGAAGGCAATATAATTACAACTTAGCACCTAAATTATTATAAGAATGCTATGAAAAAGTTAACATGAGTTGCCGATTCATTAGTCCAACATATAGTTTCTTGAATCATTTAATTCGTTTAGTGTACTTTTACACTGATAATGTTTTGGTTACTCAATGTAATCTAGGATCAACTGTTGTCAATAACTTGCAGATGCTCAGCCAACCAACAAATATTTGCAACCATGTCAGAAATCAACATTACCCTGAATAGCACGTCACAATGAAAAGAGTGAACAGGAACTGCTAACTGAAAAAATCCTTCTGACCTTATTTCCTTGAGAGGCCAACCAATCGTTTGGAGATAATATAATGATGATAACTCATAAGGCCAATAAAGGAACCAGTGACCCACCAAATTTATCTCATTACTTAGTTAATGATTACCTTCTGAGTTCAAACTAAGACAACTTTGTCCCAGCAGTGCAAAACCCTACATGATATAGATGTACTTGATAGAAGAAGAAGGTTCCCATAAATAAAACTTACCATAGATGAATTTGCTCTCTGCATCTTGGATGCTTTTTCCAGCTGTGAAGTGCCTTGGGCAGTAGCAGCATGGGAACTTTCGACGTTAGAACTAATGTCATCTGCAAAGCAAGCATGTTCAACATGTGATAAGTGTAACCAAAGCTTTAAAGAGACTTGAGAAACAGAAGCTGCAAAATGAAAAAAAATAAAATAAAATAAAAAGGCAAAGAATTTACCAATCATGGCTCCTTGTTCATGTACCAGAACTGCTAGATCTTTAAAAATCTCATTCACCTCGCTAATCTGTTGTTGAATTTCTTTGATCCCCTGCTCCCTTTCTTCAATAATGGCTTCGTTGAATGTAATTTCGTTTTCCACAAATACAACATCTTGTCTGTTTATAGTACCAAAAACAAATGATGCATCATCAAAATGGAAACAAATTTGACAATCATTGGCCATTGTTATGGTACCAGAAACAAATGATGCATCATCAAAACAGAAAGAAATTTGGCCATCATAGAAATCCACAAGATAAAGGAGTTAAGTATGTGGGGAAAGAGATCCCTGGGATTGTTTGTCTTTGATTGTGAAACAAGTGTTAAACTAAAAGCTTAAGATGGTAGGAAAAAGCTCACAGTATGTTTATAACTAGTATGCACCTTCACATGCATGGGCATTGAACTCCCTTCCAAACAGACTAATTAAAAGGCTGCTTAAACATTTATTCCTGCTTGGATATTTTCCTTTCTAAATCAGGGAAAAACACTCTAAAGATTAACAAATGCCCTTTCTAGGCAAAGTTACACAAGAAACAATCAAAATGGAGGTGGGAAAAACTCATTAAAGACAACCAGGTTCAATTCAATAGGATATGTAGCAGTTTAATTTTTCTGATGGAACAGAAACAAGAAAATATTGTGTTAAAGCAATTAAATTATAAATTACAAGGTAGAAGCAGTAACATCAATCACTTGACATATCTGAAAGAAAGAATTATGGAAGAAAACAAAATTGCAACTCCTAAGATTATGACATAGTTAGATAAGAAGACATTAAATAACTAATTAACACTTTAACAGTTATTGTATATCATGAATAAATATATAATCATCATCAAATTGCACCTCCTAAGATTGTGGCATAGTTAGAGAAAAAGACATTAAGCAACTAATTAACACTTGAACAGTCATTGCATATGAGGAATATTATCGTCATCGACCACAAAAGGAAAAGGAAATTATCATCATCAAAATTATGTCTAAAAATTGCTGACCTTTTAGATTCCAGAAGACTTTGCCGTTCAGCACTCCTAGATGAAGTTATCTCCATCTCATGGGCTCCATAGCTGTGCATGTAACATGTTTGGTCAAAGATACAAGATAATTACATAAATTACAGAATTTCAGTCTAAAAAATACAATTTGGCTTTCATTACATCTTAGAAAGTATGATAAAAAACATTATAGTCTAACCCAGATAAAAAGAGCCCAGGGAATCAAATATTATGCAACACCTCTTGTGGGTGTTTCAGATTTGGCATTCTTTTAACAGTGTACCGTACAGAATTTAAAACAATAGCTGAAATCAAAGTGTTGCCAAGTAAAATTACAGGTTCTGTTTCAATTTCTTCCATTTATAAGATAGAACTTCCAAACTCCAAATTAACTTTTGATTGCAATAATCGATTATAACTAGAGAAGTTATTTTGGCCTTAACTTGGGCAGTTAAGTGTAAAAAATAATCCTGAAAAGTGAAACCAAGTTGGTTCACTTTTTAGGCTTTAAGAAAGACAGGAATTGCTAATGTGTCAGAATTGGAAATTGGTGTTCTTTCATTTCACCAAATGAGATTTATTAAGATAACTAATACTGTGAGGTTATACTTTGTTTTCCCTCCCTAGTAATACACACAAAAGTCAAGGAGTAACTACCAGGGAAAATTAAAAAATGGCACATTGTTGTAGTATTCTTAATGTTACAAAATAATAGTGTATTAGCCTACAAGTAAGAACTTAATTAGGTTATATTAAAAAATATAGGCAATCTTAGAATTGATTTTAAATTATACCTACAAAGCAGATATCGCAGTATACAACTAGAACAATGGTAAGGATTTTCATTTAAAAAAAAAAAAAGATTAAAATAATTATTTCCCCTATATTTTCTTATTGACCACATACAAACATGTTTTGATAAAATCTATCCTCCTTCAGATCTTCTGTAAGAATTTTTCCAAAATAAAATGTTATTTGTTTTGAAGAATCTGGATTTACATTGAACATGCATGCCTGCAGAATGTATACATTCATGAACACACACTAAGACATGAGGTATGCAGACTCAAGTAGATCAGATTTGTGTAAAAATTACCTGGATGGAAGAACTTCTTTTGGAACTAATGGAGAATAAGCTGTTTCCTTCTCAGCAGCAAGCCTTTGGGTCTTTTGAAAATCTTTAAGTGCTGACTGGAAATCTTTGGCAAGCTTAGCATCAGCGATCTTCCTTAAAGGCTGCAATTTGATGAAAATGTTTCAGTGACTGAGATACACTTCAAAGGAAACATGATTAGAGAAGCACTATAACCAAAAAAATTAAAAAATAAAAAAAAAGGTTAAGCTCTTCTGACAATTAAATGTCAATATGGAAGAAGTATTGAGATTTAAGATTGTCATATTAAGCCTACAACACAATAGATTGCTAGAATGGTACTAGAGCAATTGAGAGGATGCTCTCATAGACATTGACTTCAAGTGAAAGTCAACATACATTTTTTTATCATCCAAGGAATTTAGTGCTTAGATATTGCAGTGATTTTTGAACCCCTAACCTCTCCCCAATAAGTTCTTTGCCAGAGCAAAAGCCAATATTGCTTTCTTTGTACTGTCATTGGGTGATCACTTTGCTACAATTTCGAATTACTTAAACCCTTATGTTATCTTCCTCATTTTCTAGCTTACTTTCCATTTCTTCATTCTAGGACAGAGAAAAAGGATCTATTACAGATGCACTTACACTAACTTCGGTATGCTGATCAGCTTCAGTTGCTTGCTTGAGCTTAGCTGACGTATCCTTAACTAATTGTGAAATATGTAGCCTTGTCTTATGCCTGCCAAAGAGCCCAAATCAGTTAAGTGTACCAGATTTGAGAAAATTTGTGATTTCATACAAACTTAATTATGTTTAGCTGCACAAGATTCTCATAAAAAAAACATCATCATTTACAAAATTACATAAAATGATTCAAAAAGTTACATGCATCGTACAGTTGCTTTTATCTTCCAGAGAAATTAAAGATTATGTATATAACAGATCAGAACATCTGAGAAAGTGGAGATAAGAACTAACATGAAAACTTGGGAACTTTCTAAAACCCTAAAAACCAAACAAAAACATCTATCAAATTTTCACTGCAATTACATAAGCTGTACTTAAAGAACAAGATACTGCAGCTACAGCAGTAATACCATTGGTTTACTACCTTAATTACAGTAATTTCACAAGTTTTTGCTACTGCTTTAGTTTAAAAACTGTCTCAAAAAAGGGATTAATTATTCCAATTTTCTGAATGAATAATTCCAAATTTTAAAGTAAAATGTTCACAAAAAAGCTGCATAGCACACCAAACTTTTATAATCACTTTTTCCTATTCTAGAAAAAAAGACTATAAACAGGTTTTCTCCCTAAATTCCTGGAATCCACATTCTAAACCGTGAGAGACTAAATCGAACTGCTCAAAGGAACTAACAGTTGCATAAGAAATTGTATCAGCCACCAAAGAAGGTAAACAAGGAGTAAATTTCACCAATTCCAAAATCACAACTAGAATTCAGATTCAGAAAAAATAAAAAAAAATAAAAAAAACCTAAGCACAGAACAATTATAAAAACTCACAGTTTGTCGCGTAATTCAACGGTGTCCTTTGGGGTTCCAAGAGAACCGACAAGACGATCAAAGGCCAAAACGGCAGTCCTAATTCTGAAAATCCCGGCGGCCACGGATTGAGATGGATCCTGTTCTTGTTGTTGTTGTTGAGGCGGCTGTTTTCGCTTGGAATCGAAGTAATTCCGGCGAGGACTAACAATTCCCGCCTCAATATCCTGAAAACTCATCTCGGTCCGATCAAATTCGGCGATAAAGAGAGAAGAAAATCAAGAGATTTGATGAAGAAAACGAGGAGTAAATAGGAAGGAAACAAAAGGGGAAAAAGAGAAGGCGAAGGAGAAGTCTTCCTTTGTTCTGGTGTTGAAAGTGTGTTGTGGAGAAAGGAAATTACGATTTGGTGAGGTTTGTACTCATTAGTCTGGTCAACAGAAGAAGCAACATGTCTCTGCAGGTTCCCTCCATGTCGTTTTATATATTTACCGTTTCACGGCACGGCGGAGTTAATAATGTTAGAGCAATGCTAGGGGCACTCGCCTCCTGCACTCTCCCGCCAACACTTTCTCTTTTATTGGGCCACGTTATTTTGGTTTTTCGAGAGGTTGCGCTGAAAGCTTTTTAAAGAAGCTTACGTGGCCCAATGAAAGGGGAAGTGTTGGCCGGAGAGTGCAAAAAGCGAGTGTTCCTAGCACTGCTCATAATGTTATTTAGCGTGATATAGGTTTTTTTTCCTTTTTTTTTTTTTTTTTTTGAAGTGGTGGAAATATAGGATACTTTATCATAGAAAATATTAAGATTGTCGGTTAACAATCACAAGATAAGTATGATGTAATATAGATTTTATTTAAATTTTATTTATTATATAATTAAAATTAAATATATTGATAGTTTTAATGTTAATATGTTTCAATTTTTATTTTTATATTTTTTAAAGTATTATAAAATTTATAAAAATCAAAATGAAAAACAAAAAACGATAACCACCTACAAAATGAAGATTCAGTTTATCAAGCAATTTCTTCCTTGACTGGAAGATAAAATTCAAGTATTTTTTCCAAAATAAAATTTATGTGTATTTACCAAAAATAAAATGCATAATATCATTTAAACAAAACGTCAAAAGACATAAAAATATGTCCTTTTTTTTTTTTTTGAATTAATACAATTGGAAAAATAGCGAATGGGATTGCAAAAGTTTAAATTTTAGACTTATAAATGTCATTATATTTTTCAAAGGTACTGTGATCATTACGCCACAATGGTGATTGGCAAATGGCAATGTCATATTATTTATGGAAATGAAAAGACATTTATATCTTGTGAAATTACCTTTTGCTCCTAGAAAAATGTTGAAAAGAGAATTATTGGGTGAATTATGGTGGATTATTGAAACTTTTAAATAGTTTTAATAATAAGTTAATGCACATCCAGTAAATATGCTAACAAAAGTGGACGGAAGGATTATGAATAATAAGTTTTTCAAAATAGTTAGATTTTATTTTCCACAAAAAATAATTTAAGATTTTTTTTTGCTTATTTTCTATCTGTACAAGAATAAGGCTGAGATTAACCTTCAACAAGTCCTTTTAAGTCCCTCATTTCAGTTAAAGCTCATTTAGTAACTTTATTTAAACCAACTGTTAAGGAAAAAATTTAAGAAAAAAGAACCACTATGTGCCAATGAAATAAGTAATTTTGGTGAATCCCTAAAAGTTTAGCTGAATTGATTCAAAACTGTTTGTCATCAAACAACTAACTCTCTCAATACTCAAGAATTAACCCCTCAACTTATGAAAATCTAACAATAAGATTTCAAGTTTTATTCTTTACACATTATTTTGAAACTCTAGTGATTTTGCTCTAGTTTTCTAAAAATGGGATATGGGAATGAATGATAGAATTGCATTTCCTTATGCAATAACAACATTCCAAAATAGCAGATTTCTTCCCCAATTGGGTTATCCATATCTCCATTGTTTTACAAAAATTGGTGCCAAACTCATTACCCAATATGTATTTCATTAATAGCATTTTTATTATGCAATTAATCCGACTTTAAAAACATGAATCTCAATATATATTTTACACTTCATATATAGCTTTTTTTATCTTCTTTTGTCTCTCTATTTAGTGTATGGGAAAGATATGAAAGGAAGAAGAAGAATAACAAACACTTCATGGTCTCTTTGTCTCTCTATTATACTTTTACTTGTTTTCTTTATTTTACAACAAATATTTCTAAATGTCACCTATCTATACTAAACAATTATTGCATATGTGGTAGGTAATGTTAAAGGCTATTTCAATTTATTGCTTCGGTTTATCTAAGGGTATATTTTGGTTTAAGGGGAGTGAAGGGGAAGTGAAGAGTGAAAATTTATTTATTTGGTTATTAAAAAAATTGAAGAGAATGGGAGGGAAGCGTTCTATTTTTTTTTTCTTAATTTATTCACTTACCAAATGAGGGAAATGGAGTAATTATTGAGTAATAATTATTTATTTTTTGTTTTGACAATTATGAAATTGACTTTTATTTTAATTATAAATGTCATATGTTAGCTTTTTACTAGTATACATGTAACAATTAGATATAGTGTGTTTTATTATTATTATTATTATTATTATTTTTATGTTGGTTACATAATGGAAAACAATCATCTTCTATCTCTCTTTCCAGTCCATCTGCATGTTATACGACTCGAACTTAGGATCTCTTACTTCCAGCGGAAGGAGATTACCACTGAATTATTTAGGTCGTGTTTTTATTCACTTATATGTAGTAGTATATGAGGTGTTTGCAGTTTAATAATTTATATTTGATAGCTAATTGTTTGTTAGCAAAAGTTATAATTTTAAATTTTTACTTCATTTGATTAGAAGAGATAATTAAAAGTTATTTTTAAATCAATAATTTAAACATTCTTAATAAATGTATCTTAGCAAAGATGGTATTAAAGTAAGAATAATTTAAAAAATCGACCAGGTTTCATCTCGACTTGGCAACATGTTTTGATTGTTGATTAACATTTTGTTTGTACTCTTTTACTCTTCTCCTCCCTTCTTTAGCCCTCACCCTCCTACTTAGATGTTTTCTGACATTACCATAAACAGTTGCTTTTATCTGTACAAGTAGCTTTTATTGGTATACATCTTATGCTAAGAAGCCTTTTTCTCGTTCTTTTGACTATAAGCATTGCAACAATAAGAAGTGTTTAGTTATTATCGTCATTTCTTACTATAAGCAGACTGTCTACTCCAATAATCTTGTTTATTAATTTTGCTGATGGATTTGGATTCTGGTTCTGCTAAACTCAATTCCCTAATCTTAACAATGTACCTTTATTTATATGCAATGTTTTAGTTCACAGTGGTGGTTTTATCTTGTAAAATAATTGATATTTTTTCAATTTAACATATCTGACAATATATATCAGTTTAACTATTAAAATTTACAGTTTTTAGTTTTTTGCTTTTAATTTAAATTTAAAAATAATAATTTCTTAATGAGTGTGTTATGAAATATGTTAAGTTAAAATGTATATTAATTATTGTTTCTCTCTCTCTTTTTTAAATTTTGGTACTAAAATTTAGTTTATGTGTTGCACTTCGCTTAGTTGATGCACTTGAAATGCTTATAGATGAAATAAAATTAGCATCCAATAACACAACTTTGGCTAATTTAAAAACTTGTACTACTCTCATTCTTTTTTCCTTTTTCTTTTTCTTTTTCTTTTTTCTTTTTTTTTTCTTTTTTGTTTTTTTCTGCTATATTCTTCTTTGCACTTATTAACATTTCTGGATATGTTTTTCTTGGCTCATGCCTGTGCTTGAGCTTCAATTTTTGCTCTCGTCTAACAAGAATACTCCCCTTTTGTTGCCCCCGCAGAACTTATAGGTTATATTTGGGAACTTGGATATTTTGCATTTGAGGGATGTGTTTTAAATACATTAATTTAAAATATATGTAATTTAAAATATATGTATTTCTAATTAACTATTTGGATTAATATAACAAAAATGAATTTGATATTTAAGTTGTTCATTGAGTTATTTTTACAAACACTTCCAAGACAATCCCTTTGCAACTTTAGTAACAAGCCCAAGCCAAACAACAACTTTCATTTCATCCCATTGGCTAACAAACAAGAAGTAGAAAAATCCCTGTTACCAAAATCTAGCATCCCCCACTAATAGAACAAATATAAATCTCAAGAAAATTTTTGATTGGCCCGCTACCATGTTCTTGACCTTGACAAACACTCCCATCTACCATATTCTCTCTCACCTACTCTTAACCCTTTCAAGGGCACCCACCTCTTTGTCTGCCTCTCCAACCACTCCTCCTTCAATTCCTTATCATCTTCTCCACCTCCACCTCCCACTCTTCCTCGGCCCTTCAGTGGCTTTCTATCACAAACTTTCAACTAGACTCACCCTTTTATCTACACCCAATGCCAATCCATCCACATGTGTTTAATCTTTCCTTACGAGGATACTCTAGCTACATGTGCCTGCTACTCTACTTTGCTCAATATGCCTTATGAATTGTCCGCTGTGATGGTTGCTAATCATGTGGATCATCTCCCACCCATTGTTGGAGAGGGGAATACAAGCTTGCTCAGTAGAGTTTTAGCTCATTGTGGGCAGTAGAAGGAAGGGTGGGGAGGAGAAATCATCCACCATTGAGCTCCATCAGAATTAGGAAAGTAGAAATACATGAATCTAAATTTGAAATACATAGAGTTAGGAAAGGATTTGAAATACATGGATTTTAAACCAATGAAATACATTAACCCAATTACATGTATTTGGGTTAAATTTAATTACATATTCATTTTGTAAAAATAAATAGTGATATTGAATTTGAAATAGTCAAATTCAAATGCACTCTCAAAAATCACGTTCCCAAACAAACCAATATTCATTTTAATTCTCATCATCTTACCATTATTTTACCTTTTGTTTGTACTTCTTCTCATAATTGTTTGAAGCTAAACTTCCTTCTGTTTTTTTTTTACTAGATGATCGAAATTTTTTTGTTTAGGCGCATTTTAAGAGGGTTTCATATGACGGAAATTTTAATAATTTCTATAAAAATAAGGAGCAGCATTGTAATTTATTCAAGGTCTAGGAATGTTAGTAGCTTTATGTGTATTCCTTTTATGACAGCTTCTCTAGTCGGCAGCATCTTGTTTGAAATATGAATCCTAGGGGGGCCTTTTGTTATTCCGTTGGCTTTGCAAAGTCTCTTTTATAAGCTTCAATATAGTGACACTAGTGTGGCCACCTAATCCTCTCGATGACATATGACTCTCTTCATGCAATATGATACGCAAATGCAAGAACTTAATAGGGTTCTTTGTGAAAAGCTGGATGACAAATGAAAGTAGGGAGAATCTTAATATTCATGAAATCTACATATTGACCCTAACAAAAAAGAGAAGAATCGCATGATTCAATCTAGAAGCTATTTGATTAAACTATAAACTACCTAAGAGTATAGTAGTTCATGCAAAATATAAGTGTTTAAAAAATGGAGTTTTTTGCAGCTAGCATAGCATGAATCTTCCATTGATGGAGAAACGTGAAAAATTCTATCTATAAATAACTAACTATTATTAATAATTTGAAATAATTCAGTTTAAAACCTGGTATTGATCAAACAATTTTTTAAACTAAAGTATGCAATTTTAAGTAATAATAAGTGAACAGTTTTAATTTTTAATTTTAATTATTTAAAATTTAAAAATTAAAATAAAAATTCAAAACCACAACAATACTAAACAGAGGCTTAAAGATTAAAAATATTCATGATTAAGAGTTTTAAGATTAAAAAATAACATTTAATCTTTTAATTTTAATTTAATTAGACTTGGGACGTATATGATTAGCAACAATGCCAACATAAACAAATACTTTTATCGATGTCATCATCATTTTAACCCCATGAATTTTCAGACCATAAATGTAAAAAAAGAATATAAGATTATTTAACGGAGGGAAAAACACGTTAAAACAACGATCATAAGGGATTAAAATGGAAATTTATTGAGTTTAGAGAAAAAAAAAACTCTGTACAAAAATTAAGGGGACTAAAAAATAAGTTTAAACCTTTTCTTTTCTAGCAAAGAGGCAAAATCACACGTTGAACTTTCTAAATTAACTCTAAATTTGCAATTGAGTTCTCAAATTTTAATTGATATATATAAATCTTTAAATTCTAAGATTTGAATAATTTAACTCTTTTTCTTATGCTAGTTAAAAAAATTAAGGACTAAATTTGGTAAAGTTTAGGGGTTTATATGTATCAATTAAAGTTTAAGGGTTTAATAATAAATCTGGGATTAGTTCAGGGGCTTAACATATGGTTTTGCCCAGAAGAGAGCCTCGGAAAATGAAAACCGCGTGACCACGTTCCACCGCACTTAGCACGTTTCACGTCCACCGAGAACCAATTCTGAATCTGCTACAACCAATTCTATCTACGACCCTCTTTATTCAATTTTTATCTCCCCTTACAAGTTAATTTTCTTTATTAACAAATTATGATCAACTTCAACCATTAATATTTTTAATTTTAAGTTAATTACCTTTAAATATCTTTTAAAATAGTACTAGTGTAAATAAATAATTATAATTTTATATAACATTTATTATATAAAACTTATGTGCAAAATAATTGTATCTCGTGGAAAATTATTCCTTAATCGCTGTGAACGACGTCGTTTAAATGACGTACAAATCTTGAAAGCACCAAACTCACGAATCTGAAAATATTAACGCTTCAGAGGATACCAACATCCCGCGTCTTCGCTAATTAATAATGGAGTCATTTCTAAGATTTAAGATAAAAAAATAAAAAAGTCTTCAAATAAAAGCCTTTCCGGATAATTTCCTGTGAAGGAAGATTTTGATCTCTTCTGTGTTCTCAACAAGGACAATATGACGGTTAGTGACTCTGAATTTTTTTTTTTTTTTAAAATTATGGTTTCATTTTGATTTTGTTGTTCTTGTTTGGTTGCATCGAAAGCTCGGGATAATGAAAGAAAATTCGGAATTACATCTTTTGAAATCTTCTATGTTAAGATTCTATTATTGTCATTTGTTTTTTTGTTATAATCATAAGGAATCTATAGAAATGTTTGATTCTTTGTTTATTATTGTATTTGCATAACTGTTCATGGATCTTGAAGATTGCGTTCCTATTGTTGTTTCTTTTTCTTCTTTTTTTTAAGGAAAAATTTTAAGTAAATAAAGTTCTTAATTTTTGAGTTTTGATTGTATAACAACTCTATATGTGTTCTATTATGAATCTGGGCAAGTTTCTATTTTTGAGGTCTATGTTGAATTTAAGAATCTGTAAAAAAAAGGGGGAAAAAAGAAAATTATGATCTGAAAAATTTGTATTTGTAATTTTAATCCTTGCATATTGTTTCATTCTTCTTGCAGATAAGAACGGTTAAGGTTAGCAATGTTTCCTTGGGTGCGTCGGAGCGAGATATAAAGGAATTCTTTTCCTTCTCTGGTGAAATTGAACATGTTGAAATGAATAGGTTAGTGTATTTTAGTTTTCACTTGATTCTGCACTTGCTATGTTACATGCTTTGTTTGGTTGTATAGAGAGTAGAGAAAAGAGGTGGAAGGTATGAGATTTTTCTCCGTTTTTAGACATTAATAGTTTTCTGACAACATTTGTCTTTGCTATCCTGCTTGCTGGTCAGATTTGGATGTCTGGAAACTTTGTCAGTGATAAGCTTTTGTCAGGGATAAGCCTTTGTCTAGTTGTCTTATAGTTTATTTCCATTGCAGTGATAATGAGCGGTCTCAAATTGCATATGTCACCTTCAAGGATCCACAAGGTGCAGAGACTGCTGTCCTTCTTTCGGTGCGCCCTTTTCTCAATTTCTCTGATATTCAACTCCCCTAATTTTGCCTATATTGAAATTATATCTCTTACAAGTGTTATGATCTGGTTTCACTATCCCAGTATCCCACCACCCCCATAACTTCAATTACACACCAAAAACAAAAAATCAAAACAAAAATAAAAAAAATAAAGAACCATGATAGATCTAATAATCATGGGAAATTAATCAATTATTGCAATCTTTCTCATGGAACTGAGCACTTCAGTGTGTTTGAAGAATGACATGCTAATCAAGTATTGGCCAGGCTTTTATTTATCCTTACTGTAAGGTTGTTTAGGGTGAGCCTATTTTCAATCACATGATTAGAACTGTAGCATTTGTTATACAGTCAAGGCTTTGTGGGCAGTAGAGTGTGAGAATATTATGAAGTTCAAGCGGAAATGGTGTTATTTGTTTTTTTGATGCTTAGACTTGGCATATCATGGAATTGGTGGAATCTATAGAATGGGAATATGGAGATGGTTTTGCTGATTTTTATGCATAGTTCTACTCCAAACTGTTTGTGCTGGACTGCATGGTTGCATTGACAAAATTATTTTTCTAAACGCAAAGACAGCATGTGTTTTTTCTTGGGTGGAAATTGTTATAATCATCACTGTTTTGATAACAAGATTGATGTTCTATATTTTGAGTTCAGTTTTCTCTGAACAGGTTATAAGTCCTTGTCTTCACTTTTGCTTGTTTGTTTTTATTTTTATTTCCTACATGTCCTTCATTTTTTCTCAATGGCTGAGGAAAGAGGGTAGTGTGAGAATTTTTGTAGTTGTAGTGGATATGTTAAGGAAATGAGATGCATGGTCTAGTCTTTTGTTAAGCAATTTGTTTCTTTGTTTGCGTAATGTTGAGTTCTTTGTTCTTGGATAGTTAGTCTCATCTCATATGATAAAATTATATTTTCTTTCTCAGGGGGCAACGATTGTTGATCAGTCTGTTGCCATAGATCTGGCTCCAGATTACAAACCACCTCTTCCTATCTCATCAGGAACACCAATGGTAATATTCTTATTTAACTAAGGAAAACTTCTAAAATATAACTTCCCTTTTTATGGTATTTAACATGAATGGAATTTCGATCAACTCAGGCAGCACATGATCAGAATGCTGCCCATGGTAATACTGCTGTCCAGAAGGCAGAGGATGTTGTAAGCAGCATGCTAGCCAAGGGATTCGTTCTTGGCAAAGATGCTGTGAACAAAGCAAAGGCCTTTGATGAGAAGATTGGTTTAACCTCAACTGCCACAGCTACAGCAGCTTCTGTGGACCAGAAGATCGGCTTGAGTGAGAAAATCAGTGCTGGCACAACCTTGGTGAATGACAAAGTGAGGGAAATGGATCAGAAGTTTCAAGTTTCCGAGAAGACTAAGTCTGCATTTGCAGCAGCTGAGCAGACTGTCAGTAGTGCTGGATCTGCCATTATGAAGAACCGTTATGTTCTGACTGGGACCTCGTGGGTTACTGGTGCATTCAGTAGGGTTGCCAAGGCAGCAGAAGACGTTGGACAGAAGACAAAAGAGAAAGTTTTAGCAGAGGAGGAACGAGGATACAAATCAGAGGGCTATGCTCAGATTAGTCAGCCTGGATCACAATTACCCTCAAAGGATTAATCCTTTGATCTGCACAAGACTGTAAATATCAGCTGGGAATTCATCTTATGAAGTTGTGCACCCTCTCCTATTGAACATAGATAAAAAATAAAGCGTAGGTTTTTATTGTATTGTTTCTCCCGTCTGCCATATATGACTCCAAATGATAGATGCTAATTTGAAGTTTATGCTTCTGTTTTCTTGTGAATTCTCTGTTCTATTACCATTTACCCAGTAGATAGGCATGCATCTGTTTCATCATTTAGAAGTATGCTTGAGTTGGGATGTCTCAAAAATAATATTTTCTCAGTAAGGATTAAGTACCTAGATCAGTAAGGATTAAGTACCTAGACCAGAGAAGGATTAGATAGATTATTTAACCTACAAATTTACTAGAACTGTTCCGCGTCCTCGAAGTTAAAAGTTGTGTGGCGTGAATGGCTCGGTCTAAACTGTCTTGTGTGTTTCACGTGGAATGGCAGAAAGCCAGATCAATCCGGTCAGCAAATGCTGACTGTCGGATGCACAATAATGCACTACACGCACATAACAGTCTTCTCTCTCATCACAGTCCTCAAAATCGCTTTTCCCCCCTCTCCAACTCCACAGGAAAAGCCAATCCGATCGGTGATCATACAGGGTAGATGGCTGTGATGGGACGGCGACGTCGACTGGCGGTAGCTGATTTGGTGGCTGCGGCGGCATTTTGGGTTTTGATTGTTGTACAAGTTGATCTCACGGTGCAGCTGAGGAGAAGGCATCCAATGCATGAAATTGTGGATGGAGTGAATGACAATGCAGGACCATATATTGGGCTTGTTATGGCATACCCCACTGAGGAAATGGCTCTTCTTACATCTGGCTTGTTTCTTCCCAATCCAGACGTTTCCTCCGTTGACCTGGCCGGTACGCTCTCCTCTTTGGCTAAACTCTTTTTGACTCACCATTGCCGAGACGAATTTACCGAAGTATTCATTTAATAGACGTGAAAATTTAATAAAAAAATATTACATAAATTAAATTAAATTAAATTATTTAAATAATTTAAATGTAACTGTTTTTTCATTTAATAATTTTTGTTTTTGTAGTCCAACATAACTCGCGCTGCAGAATAAATGCTCATTTAGTCATTCTTATAACGTAATTAACGGGTCAATGAGCATTGACCCATGTGGCAAATTGGGACTTTTTTTTTTTTTTGCAGGGTAATTGTTAGAAGTTAAGTGTTAAAAATTAGATTAATACCTTACTTATGGCATGATTTGATCACTAATTAATGTGCAATTCATCAACAATCCTGTTGGACTGCAGTGGCCACCAATAAACTAAAAAATATGCAAATTGTGACTTTTTGGTCCAAAGATTCCAGTTCCACAAAATCATGCCTGCACTGTTTAGGTTATTTAGTGGGGGTGCACTTTTTCTTTCTAGGCTTACAAATTTTTTTTGGGAAACATTACTTTTTAGCTTTTAAAGTGTTTATAAATAAGTTTTGAAGAAAGGAACTGACATTAGCTAAGAAAACACTGTATCTTTAGTCTTTCTGAATCTTCAAATAATAATTTAACATGGTTTCTTGTTAATACTCAGGAAGGACGTTCAACATTGGGAAGATTAAAGGTGTAGATGTAATCTATGTCATGACTGGGGAGCAAACGGTTAGGTTTTAATTACACTTTTTTAAGTTTCTAATAATTTCAAATTTTCATTTCTATCTTCTAAGAAATTTTCTTGCAATTCTTTTTCTCATTAGTCTTGAATCATAGATAAATGCAGCCACAGCAGTGCAAACCCTTCTGGATGCATTTGATATTCGGGGCATTGTTCATTATGGTATTGCTGGAAGCACCAACAATTCGTTGTCCTATGGAGATGTTAGCATCATGAATTATGTTGCACTCACTGCTTCTTGGAAATGGAAGGTACAAAGTCCCTAAAAGCTTAAGTTAGAAGTTTTTAAGACAAAAAATTGTAATGCCCTGAATCTCATGATATGTTCAACAGGAATTTAAGTCAGAGGAAGGGCCGCTGCCAACACTGGAATTTGGAGACTTCAATTTTCCCAAAAAAGGAGAGAATTTATTGGCATTGGTAGAGTTCACGCCGGTGCAGTTGTTCTCCACTGGGAAACCAATGCAGGAAGTATTCTGGCTTCCAGTAGATTCACACTGGTTCTCCATTGCGGCTCAACTTCAGGTTTGTTTTTTCTCTCTCATTTTCCTGTCCTACTTTCTCATTCAAGCTTGATTTATAAAACAATTCATAGAATCTCAAGCTTAGGTAAGTAATTTTCATGAGTCTGAACTCATGTTTAACTATTAGTACTTGCTCTAAACTCAAGCTTAAGATCAAATCTGTTTAGCTAGCTCAGCTGAATGCAGGTTTTTGTGTTAATCCATTCATTTTATTTATTTGCAGGGATTAAAGTTGGAGCAATGTCTAAATGAGACATATTGCCTACCTGAAACACCGAGAGTTGTGTATGGACTGAAGGGTTCCAGTGCAGATGTTTATCTTGACAATGAAGCATACAGAGACTTCCTGTTTAAGCAGCTTAATGTCTCCACTGTTGATGAAGAAACTGCTGCCGTAATAATGGTATACACGCATATTCTACACTTAATCTCTAGTCCATGCAAGCACAACACACACATCTTCCACATAACAACAAAAAGGATATATAATTTTTGTTACTTGTTTTCTGCAGACATGTTTAACGAATGCAGTGCCTTGCATTGCATTTCGTGGGGTATCGGATATGGCAGGTGGAAAAGGAAGAGCATTGTCAGGCAGCTTGAGTTCCTTAGCTTCTGCAAATGCTCTGATTGTTGCAGTTGCGTTCATGGGGTTAATTCCTAAAGAAGGCTCAGTCTATATTCAATGAAATTGGTCAGTTTTTTTCTACTTGCAACAAAAGGGTCATTCAATCGAATGTTCCTAGAATAAATTCAAATTAATCATTGGATGTAATTTGGATTAATAAAGAATGAATGAATTTATACACTGTTGTGTCAAAACTTATTACAGTTTCAACTCTGATTCTAAGTTAGTGAAGATTAAATGACTCAGTGCGAGAGGCATTCTTCTTCCTCTTGCTCGTAAAGTTTGCGATACATATCCTCCACTTTCTGGATGTCTTCCCGGATAAATACAACCCTTGTGCCAGAACATGAACAACCAACTGACTTCACATCTGCATCATCATCAAAAGGGGAAAAAAAATTAGATAATTTAGTCTTAAATAATCAAGGATTTAATTTGCTACTTATTATAGGGTTAATTACCGTGGAAAAGGCACATGTGATGATAGCAGCTGCTGCATTCAATGAACATCAAGTAGCAGTCTCGTTTGCAGAGGTGACAGAGAATGGTTCCTTGCGACTCTGGTGAAGGGCTAGAGGTTGCATTTAGATCTATCAAGTTCCGAAGAGCATTCTGGAGGAATCCAATGTGTTGTGCAAAGCAATTCTTGACTGAGGATTCAGATGCCAAATCTGAAAGAAGAATTGCTTCCTTGCAGAGAAGCTCCTCATAAGGAAGTACCACCATCTTCCCAAGAGTTGCATAATGGTAGCCTGCCACTGCCCCCCATGGAAACCAGTCTTTGACAGCGAAGTTCACTGCCTCTCCACAGTTGAAACCTGAAAAAGAATTGGAAATCTGAGAGTCTGTTTGATGAATTCAACACTGGAAAAACTGATGAGGAAGAAATGTGTTAATTACTTACCATGGCTGAATCCAGCATGGTATGACCGGGGAAAGGTGACAACAAACTCTCCTGGTTTCTGAACTGCCCGGTAAACAGGAACATTGTGTTGCAGCAAGATACCGGGAGGGAACATTGTTGTCTTCTCAGAGAGAATTTCAGATGCATCGATATCATCTCCATTATGCAAGCTTTCAGGGGCATAAACATGATCCAGTGCTACTTTCTCAAATTCAGGAGCTGCACCTCCAGGTACACAGTACCAGGTTTTGGGTGCTCCAGAATGATGGTAATTAATGCTGTAAAAGGGAATGAAAACTGTAAGCTAATACATCAGCAGAAGACAGGAAGATGAAGCAGGAAGAGCAGGAAGCCTTACCTGTATAGATAGTGATCTTCCACATGCCAGGCAAACATACTGAATATCATTCCAATGTATAGCATTGGATCTGTTATTCCCTGTGTTAAAAAACCAAATCAAGGTTAAGTACAAGCCCCAAAAGTCCAAATTAACTAGTTAGAAAGAAGATTTCAATAAAAACAAGGAAAGATCATGATAGATACTGGGATTGGGTATCCTATCAACCGCAATGCAGACTGAGGTAGCTGTGGCAGGGTCTGAAAAACAGAAACAGAAAGGGTAAATGAATTTGTAGAAGATTGAAAAATACAGACAGAGAACAACGGGGTTAAAAGAAAAAACCTTTAAATTCCACTTGCTTTGGCCAAGCTGGTCATTTGGATCAGAAGAAAAGGCACTGCCTTCAACATTAACTCCATATTCAACCATTCCTTGATTCCCATTAGTCATGGCTTGCCAAAATTTCTTCTCCAAATGCGGAGGAGACAGACTTCTTGAACCAGGAAATCTTTGAGCGTACTCTTTGTTTGCCCTTTTCTCGAAAGTTTTAAAAGTGTAATTACTGCAAAAAGCAACCACATAACCAAAATTAACAAACAAAAACAAGCAAAAGCTTCATGTTCTACTTAAGAAGTATGAGGCTATAACCATTTGATTACGTACGTACCTTTCTCCTGCATAGTATGTACCCTTGCCATTGACATTCCATCCAGAGAGGCAGAGAGGCTGCAAGTAAGTACGAAACTCGAACCCCCTTTTCTCCTTCATTAGTACATCAGAAGCCGAAGCAGAAGCCTTCAATGGTGACACAATCTTGCATATTCCTGAACATTGAATCTCCATAAATACAATTTCCAATGAAAAAAACTCAACAGACAAAGATGAATTTACACCTTTTAATCATGATGACTCACCAAATTTAGAAGCTTCTGGTGAAATTTGTTGCAGATAAACCAATGGGTCCTCGAACTCCTCTGCAGACGGATAAAAAACAGGACATTCTGGGATCTTGTCTACCCATTGCACATCAGTCAAGTGATTCTTGTCTGCTTTACGTTTCGATGACGATGGCAATCCTTTCTCGATCAAAGTGAAACTTGATCGAGTTCGTACTTTTTTCCCACACCCACATGAATCAGATCTTTTCATTACCTTCCCTTTTCTTGCACTTGAAGTTTCCTTTTTGCTGGAAAATTGGACTCGAGAAAGAACCCGGGAAACCATCTTGCTTAATTACAGTCTTCCAATGGCAAAACCAAGAATCTCTTTCTCTCACTATCCAAACAGAATAAACCCAAAATTGTTAAAAAATTTGGCATGATCAGGAACATTCTAATTTCCAAAATCCAAATAAAAGAATCTTATCTTTTCAGTAACAATAATCTATGCTGTTTTCCTTTTTGGTTTCTTTTCCTTATCAGTTTCTCGGCAGCCAAACAAGTGTTAACGCTTGTAAAATTTAAACAAAAGAAGAAATCTTTTTGGTCAAGAAACCCTAATCTCGGATCACTTAGTAAGAAACTCCGTGTGTTTGAAACAACGTAATGTGGGTTTGATAATTTACGAAGGAAAACGTGATTTTGAGAAAAAATTTTCTCTTCTTTCCTTTTAACTTTCTCCGTAACCAAACATGTTTAAGTAGTTAATATTTTTTCCCGTTAAGAATAATTTCGGTGACTGAATGAAGGCAAAATACGTGATCATAGTTTTGGTTCGTTTCACCATTCTTCTACAAAACAAGAAAACAACAGAAGAGTGGAGAAAGGTTTTTCTCTTCTTTTCTCTCCGTTTCCTATTCAGTTTCTCGGCAACCAAACACGAAACACCAAGAAAGAAAGTAGATTCAAGAACCCAGATAAGAAAGTGCAAGAATGGCATGGCGTACCTGAAGAAGGGGAGACTTCTCCAGCGAGAGAATGCATAGATATCCGGCGAAGTTGGGCGGCGGCGACGGAAACCACAGATCCGAGAAGCAACCAGGGGAGAGTTTACCGTTTGGCGCCTGTTATGGTGGTTTTTAAGGACAAGAAAAGAGCGAGTCTGTCTGGGATATTCGGAATTGTGAGGCGGTGTAATGTGTAATACCTCGTATTTTTATAAACGAGTGCGAGTGTTTTTAAACTTGCCCTGTGGATAATCAATATTTTCTTTTGGGAGGACCCTTGAAGGTGAATAGGATATTTTAGCCTTATCTTCGGGAAGGATTAGTCTTTAATAAGTCGGTAAAAGTTGATTTAGAGGTATCTTAGAGTAAATAAAAAAAAAAAGAAAAAAAAAAAGCTATCACTTTGCCTTAGATGGGGTTTTGGGAGTGTTTCATTATGTTATTTTGATTTTTGGATTTTTGAGGCAATACAAGTTGGGAGGATTAGAGTTATTTTTTGATAGGCACATACGCTGTTTCCGATCAATTGCCTACTCAAAGTATGAAGTAAATTAGGATATAATGGGTTAACAACCTTATTGATAAAATTCACTTTGTTGTTGATACAAAAAATCGAAATTTTATAGAATCTTGAAAGATAAAGATGAATGAGACTATATATCTCTCTCACCACATATAAGTATAGTGTGTGAACAAAAGGTTCACAAGACTTTAAGGACATCCATATATATTGCATATATTATTACGTTAGAGAAATTTATTATTTTTGTCCATATATTGTATTAAATTGTG